GTATTTTTATATATATATAAATACTAAAATAAACTAGTACTGTGCACTGCTGAAAGAACTGAACACACTGAACTGCACAGCTGAAAGATGCAGTTTCTTCCAAGCCAACTGGAGAGGAACCCTCACATGCAGAGCCTGAAAGAAGTCACAGCATCAGCTGATGGCCTCCGCAGGTACTCCTCCATGTCAGATGCACTGCATGGGGAGTTTTCAAGGTAATCTGAAGATCTCAGATCAATGGAGGATGAAAGGCGCAGTGCAGTGTGGACGATGCACCCAGTGATGTTCAGCTGGAACTCACTGACCTGCAGTCTCATGTGGTACTGGCAGAGCACTTTAAGTCAAGATCACTGCTGGATTTCAACTCTTCTGTCAAGGAGGACGACTTTTCAAACATGAGGACACATGCTCAGAAGATGTTGGTTCTCTTTGGCTCTACCTACATATGTGAACAAACATTCTCAGTGATGAAGTTCACCAAATATAGATCCTCTCTCACTGATGAGCATCCGTCAGCTTTGCTTCACATCTTCACCTCAGACATTCAACCCATCCACCCCCAGGTGGAGCAGTGAGCGGCTATTGAGGGCGCCCGGGGAGCAACTGGGGATAGGGTGTGCTGCTCAGAGACACCACGAGATGTGCAATGACTGGGGATCGATCCTGGGACTTTTGGGTCCCGGGTCGGCTGCCCTGCCTCTACCCATATAATGTTTCATAATATTTGGCGTACAAAGACGTCATCAGACGCTGTTAGAAAGCCAAGAACCTCTTCCAACATGTATGGAACTCTAAATGGGTTTTGGGGTGAATGTGACTGAAAATGTTCACCAATATAATGAAACACAAATAGTAAAAATGTTCAGTTTACCATTATACTGGTAAATTTAATTGAATAAATGACATTTTTTAAGGCAACCTCACTTTTTGTTGCTTAATCATAAATACTCTTACCAGTCTTACCAGCTTGTCCAAACAATGCTATTTACAGCTTTTAATAAATAAATACTATTAATATTATGCAGTCGATACTCCATAATAAGTCATTTGGCCCAGCCCTCCACAATATTTTCTGTTTCTCATGTCGCCCCATGGAAAAAATAATTGCCCCACACCTGCCTCACCCTCATTCGCCCCACTCTGGGCCCCTGAACAAGGCCCTGGACCACCACCTCCTGCCCCCAAAAACAGGTCTCTGTTGAAAATGAGTCCCCGTGACTCAATGAGACTACCTGTATAACTAAAGGGTAAATTAAAAAATACAATAAAATAAACAAGCTCTGCTCCACTCGCTCTTTACTGAGACTCTTGGGGGGTGAACAAAGCGCAGAACAATTCAGCCATTATATCGGTTATCGGCGATAGTCAAAACTCCCATGTCGGTCGGGCTCCACTTTACGTATCGGAACACAATAAAACAAGAGTACCACATACGGTACATTTAGAGCTCATTGACAGACTAGTCAGCAAAGTCCAGAGAAGCAAAGACCTTCCATAACATTTGACCTTGACCTTGGAGCTGGTGTGATGAAAAGTGAATGCAACAATCCTGCTAGTGATGATCCAGATGTGTATGAAGTTTAATTAAATTATCTTATCCATAAAAGAGACAGATAATGTCCTATAGAAAAGCACTACTGAAAGTTCTCGTAGCTGAAAGAGGTTCAACAAGCTGCTGGATCAGGAGCGTTTGGCTCTACTTAGATCAATAAGAAACAACATCACGGTGGAATGTGTTTTTTTTAACGAGGTTAGATTTGAATACTTTTAGAACCTGATAGAGATTATGTCATTGTTTTTACACAAAAAACTCCAGAACTGAGACAGGGTGGACGTTTAGTTCCCATGACTGCAGTTGTCAGAATGAAAGTTTAACTTCCTCACCGGTGAATTTTGATGTGGATCTGCAGCGTGCTTTTAGCTGTGAAACATTTCCCACAGATCTCACAGGTGAACGGTTTCTCCCCTGTGAAAAGATTAAGATTTCAATCTCCATAAAGGAACACGGTAATACTACAAATTTAAAGGAGTCACAGATCTGTACCTGTATGAGTTCTGAGGTGCTTCTTGAGTTGAGCTGCATCCATAAATTTATGATGACACTCGGCACACTCCGGTAAAGATTTACCTGTAATTAAAGAAAACGAACTACCGTAAGATGATAACATTAGCTGAACATGTGATTACAACAAAAGCATAAATGTGCTGATGGTTTGTTTTCTTACCTGTATGAACTCTGTAATGACTCTGAAGCTGCCTCTTCTGATTAAAACTCTTTCCACATCTGTCACACTCAAAGACTTTCTCTACTGAGGAAACAGAATAAATTAATCATCTAAACAAACGTACCGATGACCAACAAGCTTCTGATGATTCATGGGAAGATTCTAATCATCATGAAGGTGGTTGTACATTGTTCTTGTGAAAATGTTAAATGATTTTTTAGGAATTTAAAGAATCATCGCACGCTTCAGAAATATATGGAAAGATTCACCAGATTGGATCACCATTTTCTGTCTAATGTATCTAAAGGTTCATAATTCTGCAAAGATTCTCTAAGTACCTAAAATATTAAAATATATTTTTTGCACTGGTAGCCAGTGAAGCACATATTTATGAGCCTAAAGCAACTTTATGCACATGGACTATCTGGGCCCTGACATTCTTTGACAGCTCTTGGGTCGTACCCTTGGTGGTGGAAAAGATGGAATGAAAGAGATTCTGCGTACACGTGAGCTTCATACGCATCAGATCAGTTACATTAGTTCAGATCGGGAATGTTCACACACTGATTGACTTATTTCATCGATTATCTTTGTGCCATGTTGACACCAGAGCCCATCAAAAATTTGGTAGGGCTGATATTTCTGGCTGATATAGGCGTTTGGGGACATATTGGTATCATTGATAAATGTCCCATTATGCACCGATACTGGGAATGAGCCGTGTCCTTACTTGCAAAAGGCAGCAGAGGGCGCAGAAAAACTACATTCAAGTCATGGACGTTCACTTTAACTTTCACTTTCAGCATAGATGAAAACAACAGAGGATCAAATAATGATTTCCCTAACTACTTTTCCCCACCATTATCCAAGGAGGGCACCCCGCCCTGTCAACAGAACCGAGTGCCCCCCCCAATAACAGCGCCACCAGCAGATTGTTGCAGGTCAGCTCGGACTCCAAACCGTGCGCAATACAAACGTAGCGCTCCCTCCTCCATTCTTGAGCTGTCGAGAACTGACAAAACAAACATAGCGCTAAGCTAATCAAACCCCGTGCACAATACAGAGACAGCGTTTTGCTTCTACTCCCCACCCCCACAAGTGCACCTCAAACCCTTAAGACACGAGCGCCCTACCAAGGCAAGAAACCTACGGGAAACACTGAAGCGCAACAGATTGTAGCGTCTTCTGGGACAATTATTTACCGTAATGTTTTTTAAAGTCAAGCTGCTAAGATTTGTTGAACACTAACAACTGTGATAGAGTCAGTAGCTAACTTGATCTGATCCTACCGTCATGGAGGTTCATGTGCTCCTGCAGGGAGCTTCTGGTGGAAAGTGCTTTGGAGCAGACGGTGCAAACAAATGGCTTTTCTCCTGTGTGTATGCGCTGGTGAGCCAGCAGTGTGTGCTTCTGAGTGAAGGTTTTCTCACAAACAAAGCAGCAGAAGGGTTTCTCTCCTGAAAGCAAACAGAAAACACAACGAGGGGTTCAGCAGTCTGGGATTACCGCCGCCTGTTCGCTCATTAGCTGATTTTTACAGCAAGTGAAATCCTAAAGAGCTATTAAAGTAAAACAAACTGAATGCTGAATAATTTAGCTGAAATTAGTTTGAAAAGCAGAGATTGTTTTAATTGTAAATCAGTGTAAATGCTAAAATTAGCAAACCAATAGCTAAAATCTAAATCCAACAAAAAAGTAGCTAAAAGCTAAAATGAGCAAAACAGTAGTTAAAAACTAAAACCAAGAAAACAGTAGCTACAACCTAGACTGGGCAAAACATGATGTAAAACTAGCAAAACAGCAGACAATTTCTAAAAATATTGGAACAATAGCTAAAAACTAACACTATTAGAGCAGAACCTAAAAGCTAAAACTAGCAAAAAAGAAGCTAAATGCTAAAACTAGCAAAACAGTGGTTAAGAACTACCAAGGCCAAGTTTTTTAAGCCACTCCATTTATTTCTACTAGAATAAAAAAAAAAATAATATTTAAAAATTATAAATGTCACAAAAAAGCATAGGCTCTAACGATGAACTTGAATGTTTTGTTATAGGAATGGCTAACACTGCTTAAAGTATGCTGAAGTAATTAGTAATTAAAACGTACAGAAGAAACTATAAAGATGTAACGATGGTGTGAATGCTGACTCAGCACTCAGACATTTACCGGTGTGAGTCCTTTGATGAATCTTTAAGAACAGGTGGTGTTTGAATACTTTCCCACAGTCCTCACACTGTGCCTCGGTGTTGGGGTACTTTCTCCTGCAGTCCCTTTTTTCAGGCTCGCTGCTTCCCGCAGCATCAGGGTCAATTTTGTAGCCCTTATATTTGACTGGAGTTCTGATTTTGCGTTTGCTGTGACGTCTCTGCTCAGCTCCAAGGTTACAATCCCCCCCGTCTTTAGAACTTCCTGCTTCTCCATCTCCAGCCTGCCTGTTGTCTGAACTCCCACAGGGTGCGCGTGTGTCTTTCTTCGGTCGTCCTCTTTTGCGTTTCAGCAGATCTGGCACCTCAGCTTTGTCTGTTTCCATGATGTCCCATTTGCTTCCTGCAGAACTCGTGAGTTCTGTGAGCACTTTGACCAGCTCACTGACCTCCATGAGACGAGCTGCAGCCAGGAGCTTCTCCGTGGCGTCCTTCTCCACCAACACTCGGGCGGTGTAGATGAACTCCAGCACGGTGGCAAAGATCAGAGCAGTCATCCCATCCAGCTGGTACTTTGACTGATGGATCTGGTCTTCTGCCGTCAGCATGTTGGAGAAGTATGCGCTGCTCGCTGCCAGCAGGGCTTTGTGTGCCTTGAAGTGCACGTTCTCCACAACAAGAGTGATGTCACACAGTAGGTCTCCTTTCCTGAGCCTGTCGAGGTTCCTCAGGATGCTCTGATTATACGAGTCTGAACAAACAACCACAAGAGAAGAAGTTGGAGCCATTTTTGTTTGAGAAGACTCCTCCAAAAGTCATTTGTTCCTGAAATCAATAAAAAAAAATCTATTAAACAATAACCAAGAATGTTGCCTTTTTATTTACTAACAAACCACAGGGCAGATTTTAATGAAACCATCAGACAACGACTAACTGTAGGAATCAAATCAATTTAAAATGGACGCCAAAGCTGAGCAACTTCGACAAACAAAAAATATTGTAACTCAGACAGTCACAGATGCTAAGTTCAAATTTGGTGTGGTAGTAGCTGAGAATCATGTTCTTGGCATTAACTGTCTGTTAGCAAAATATCTCAATAAAGGAAGGATTTAATTAAAAACAATCTCAGAAACTAAATCACTGGATGTACCACGAGAAGTCCAACAAGTTTTTCTATGGCCAATGCCAATCTTTATGAATCAGAGCAGCTGATGCACAACCGTTCAAAAAGATGCATTCAACATGAAGTCCGTCAGTCCGTCCCCAAGATAACACGTCCTCAACACGAACAGCTGTAGAGTCTGTTAATCTCAAGATAACACGTCCTCAACAGGAACAGCTGTAGACTCTGTTAATCTCAAGATAACACGTCCTCAACA